GGGTGGGCCAGTTGCAAGCCCGACAACAGCCCCGCAACTGTAAGTGTCGCATTCGACCGCAACTGCATATCTTTTAACCCGACTGCAACTGGACTTTTTTGTCCTATCAGAGGGGATGCCAGGAGAGGGGGCATGTGAGTTGCAAGCTCGACAACAGCCCTGCAACTGCAAGCGCCGCACCCGACCGTAACTGCATGTCCCCCAACATGGTTGCAACTAGACCTTTGTTTTGTTGGAGGGGGCGGCGGGAGAGGAAGTGGGCCAGTTGCATGTCCGACACTAGAAATGCAACTGCAAGTGTCACACCTAGGCCTACAATTGCAAATGTCATCTCGGACTACACCTGCATGTTGCCCTGATGCCTGCTGATTAAGACTTGTTTAAATCTCAACCGACTGGACCGTATCCACACCCCATTATCTACTTTGTTTTTCTTATTTAATATCTTTTTATTTTTATTTTTCTGTCTCTCTAAAAAGAGGTGTTTTTATTTTTTTTAAACGTGACACACCAATCCAGTTGCACCTCTGCATCGCATGTGTAACTGAATATGATTGGCTCTCTTATTTTGTTAGTAGTACCATTGTCAATTTGTTGATGATAGCAAAATTAAAAATAGATGAGACCCAATCTAAGAAAAAATGCAAGGTAAGACCATCATTAAATAATGCTAAACATTTTTTCTAATTTCATGATGAATATTTTTAAATAATATTGTACATTTTCTAATGGCACTCTAATTTTTTTAAAATACATGATTAATATTTGTGAAAATGCATGAACATATTTCTTAAAAAAATATCATGACTAATGCTTACATTTTCTAGAAGCAAAAATAGTATAAATAAGAATGGAAGGAGAAAAATGAAAAGTAAAACTGGACAAAATTGATAGTAACTACATGTTAATTTTTTTTGCATAAACAACAAGCTAATACATTCGGCCGGTGCACCACACGTTTTTTAGGCAACTTTTTTTAGGCAACGCCAGTGCACCACACGTAGTAATGGAGCAGCAGCACGGAACAAAAATACAGCCTAATCTCTGGCCCAACTCAACTCAAAAACACATAAAGCAAAGACAAACAGGGCAGCCCAAAAAGCAATCAGATGTGACATGATATGGACTGGACAATAAAGCACAAAAAAAACAGGTGACGTCAGCCGACTGAGACTTCGCGAAGTCTCAGTCGACTGAGGCCTAGACACTGCGTCCTCTGCTTCCAGGACGAGGCACCCGCTCACCTGGAGCCGCGTTGACCGCCCACTTGTCCAACGTCTCGCCTCGTGCCTCCCCAGCGGGCCTGCCTCCTTCAGCTCTGTCGGTCGCGCCACCCCGCCGGAGAACGCCGCCACGCGTCCGGATCCACTAGCCTCTTCCGCCGGATCCCGCCGTTGCGTTGCCGCTTCCGGACTCCAGCCGCTCAAGTACTGCCTCGCCGCGCCTCTGCTTCACGCGAGCAGGGACGAGGCGACTGCTGCAGCCCGCACGCCGTCGAGCATTAACCGCAACGCCCCAAATCGGCCTCCTGTGTTCTTGGGCCACAAGCGCGCAGTAGGCCCAGTGCCTCCTCACCCAGCCAGCCTCAAAAGCCCAATGTGAGCAGCCCGAGCTCCCTGCACTGTTGGGCCGCCTAAGATTCAGCCCGGGACTTGTATTTTTTCGCATAGCGATTTTTCCTATTTATCCAAGAGACTGCCAGTTTACAGTTTAGTCCCTAGTCTTCATGCATATTATAACTCATGATCTATGCATCATATGTAAAAACTTAATATATGAAACTTGCTTAGAATTTTGTGTAGATTAATAATATCCAATTTTCTTGCACCTTTAAAATGTTTAAATTGCTGTTTGTTTAAATTTGCTCCTATGCCATGTTAAAATGCTTTAATTCATAACTAAATAACCGTTACTCCGAATGTAATAAACTTTATACGTAAATGGGGTAGAAAAATGCCTAGTTTAACATGGTGTACTTGTTTTGCATGTTTAACAACCCTAAAATTGTGTTTAGGGCAGAACAATACCAAATCTATAATATGCATATGGGGATTTACCGGAATTGTTGTTCGTTACTTCCGGCCTCATTTAAACTTGACTAGATAGGTAGTTTTATTTTGCTTCACCCTCTTGCCATGTTTAACAACATTTAATATTGTTGGATACATAAACAAGATCGAACTAAATAAGTCACGTGGTGTTTCGTCAATATGCAACGGAGTTGCATATTGAGCTCAACTTAACTTGTAGTGTCGTTTGTGCATTTTGCCATGCCATGCCTCTTTAAACCGGACATGCATCATACTTGTTTGTGCATCGTGCCATGCTTATGTAATGATTGTTTACTATGTTGTTTGCTTTCTTTCCGGTGTACTTCTTCTCGGTATTCCGGTGACGTTGCGTTTGTGAGGATCTGTTGGCTTCGTCCGTTTGTCTTCTTCATGGACTCGTTCTTCTTCCTTGCGGGATTTCAGGCAAGATGACCATACCCTCGAAATCACTTCTATCTTTGCTTGCTAGTTGCTCGCTCTTTTGCTATGTCTATGCTGCGATACCTACCACTTGCTTATCATGCCTCCTATATTGTTGAACCAAGCCTCTAACCCACCTTATCCTAGCAAACCGTTATTTGGCTATGTTACCGCTTTCCTCAGCCCCTCTTATAGCATTGTTAGTTGCAGGTGAAGATTGAAGTTTGTTCCTTGTTGGAACATGGAGATGTTGTTCCTTGTTGGAACATGTTTACTTGTTGGGATATCACAATATATCTTATTTAATTAATGCATCTATGTACTTGGTAAAGGGTGGAAGGCTCGGTCTTATGCCTGGTGTTTTGTTCCACTCTTGCCGTCCTAGTTTCCGTCATATCGGTGTTATGTTTCCGGATTTTGCGATCCTTACGCGGTTGGGTAATAATGAGAACCCCTTGACAGTTCGCCTTGAATAAAACTTCTCCAGCAAGGCCCAACCTTAGTTTTACCATTTGCACTAACAACCTATAACCTTCCCTTGGGTTTTCGCGAGCCCGAGGGTCATCTTTATTTTAAACTCCCCCGGGCCAGTGCTCCTCTGAGTGTTGGTCCGAAACGGGCAGCCTGCGGGGCCACCTCGGGGCAACTCGAGGGTTGGTTTTACTCGTAGCTTGACCTATCCGGTGTGCCCTCAGAACGAGATATGTGCAGCTCCTATCGGGATTTGTCGGCGCATCGGGCGGCTTTGCTGGATTTGTTTTACCCTGTCGAAATGTCTTGTAACCGGGATTCCGAGTCTGATCGGGTCTTCCTGCTAGAAGGAATATCCTTCGTTGACCGTGAGAGCTTGTGATGGGCTAAGTTGGGACTCCCCTGCAGGGATTTGAACTTTCGAAAATCGTGCCCGCGGTTATGGGCAGATGGGAATTTGTTAACGTCCGGTTGTAGAAAACCTGAAGTTAACCTTAATTAAAATGCATCAATCGCGTGTGTAACCGTGATGGTCTCTTTCCGGTGGAGTCCGGGAAGTGAACACGGTGTTGGCGTAATGTTTGACGTAGGTTGTTCTAAGATCACTTCTTGATCATACTTTTATCGACCGTGCTTTGCCTTCTCTTCTTGCTCTCTTTTGCGTATGTTAGCCACCATATATGCTAGTCGCTTGCTGCAGCTCCACCTCATACCTTTTACCTTACCCATGAGCTTAAATAGTCTTGATCGCGAGGGTGCGAGATTGCTGAGTCCCCGTGACTCACAGATACTTCCAAACCAGTTTGCAGGTGCCGATGAGCCCTTGCAGATGACGCAACCAAGCTCAGGAGGAGCTCGATGAAGATCTTGTCCTTTGTGTTGTTTTGTTCTAGTTGATCAGTAGTGGAGCCCAGTTGGGATCGATCGGGGACCTTTATCGCATTTGGAGTTCTTTTTTTATTTTGATTTCGTAGTCGGACCTTGATTGTATCTGGTTGATGTAATGCTTTATTCATGTAATTGTGTGAAGTGGCGATTGTAAGCCAACTATGTATGTTTTTCCCTTATGTATTACATGGGTTGTGTGAAGATTACCTCACTTGCGACATTGTTTTCAATGCAGTTATGCCTCTAAGTCATGCTTCGACACGTGGGAGATATAATCGCATCGAGGACGTTACAAGTTCGGGAGTATTAAAACATGTCTCGGTGTTTCCCTTAACCTTTCCTTAATGCATGCCTCAATGCTACTGTATTTCTGAGGCAACTGAATTATAACTTAACCCAATAATTAAATTGTGTGTAACTACTGATAAATAACTTCACTGCAGTTCGTCTTCTACCGGTGCCAGAATGGGCTCCGGATTCAGGACTCGAAGCTGATCTCGTGCTCGTCCTTGCCGACCCTGAGGAAATGTGAGCCTCCATCGATCACCTTCTGGCCATCCTCCCTCGCCCTGCTGAAGTGCTCGCACGGGCTGACGTCGAACCTGAGGCTGGCCTTCTCGCCGGCCTTGATATGCTGGGTTCGGAATCCCATCAGCTGGCTCACCGGACGCCCACCCGTCGCGTTGGGCCACCGGAGGAACATCAGCACCGAGTGCTTCCCGTCCAGGGGGCCGTGGTTCTGCACCTCGACCACTGCCGGGAACTTGAGCTGCTCGCACCCGTCGGCCCCGATTTCCTCGACCACGTAGCTCGCGCCGCCGTCGGCAGTTCGCGTCGCGGCCAGGCCGGCGAGCAGATTCGTGTTCGGTGCTTTGTTACCATTACCGGAGACAACTAGTTGGCGAGAGAACTTGGAGTAGCTGAGGCCGTAACCAAACTTGTAGACGGCGTTGCCCTGGTAGAAGCGGTAGCTCCGGCCAGGGTATCCGGTGGCCGGGTCGGCGCGCATCCGCATGTCCGTCATGGGCACCTTGGTGAACTCCTCCGGGTACCACGTCACCGGCAGCCTGCCGCTGGGGTTGTGGTCTCCGAAGAGGACCCTGGCGATGGCGAGCCCGCCGGCCTGACCAGGGTAGCCGGCCCACAGAATTGCACCGATCTTGGGGTTCAATTTGGCGAATGTCACGTCAACCGGACCGCCGGTGAGGAGCACCAGGATCACCGGTCGTTTCGCCGCGTTGGCAACTGCGGTGATGAGGCTCTGCTGCTTCCCTGGCAGCAGAAGACTCGTCCTGTCGAGCCCTTCCTGCTCCTGCGCCTGGCTCAGACCCATGAACATGAACACGTAGTCCGACGAGGCCGCCAGCCCCACCGCCTGGCCCGTCGCGGCAAAGCCGCACGCCGCCGAGTCGCATCCGGCCAGGAACCTGACGTTCTGCACGTACCCCTGGAGCCCCTGCAGCGGCGTCGTGGTCTCGCACGGAGGGCCGAAGTAGTTGCCGTTGAGCGCGCCGGGGTCATTGGCATTATGGCCGATGACGGCGGCGGACGCCACCGCGCCCCGGCGAAGCGGGAGGATGCCGGCGTCGTTCTTGAGGAGGACGATGCCGCTCGTGGCCGCCTGGAGTGCCAGGTTTTTGTGCGCGGGCGAGCACACGTCCTTGGCGCCAAGGCCGCCGTACAGCGCGCTGCCCCGGGGGTCACCGTCGAAGTGCCCGAGCCGCATCCGGACGGCGAAGAGGTTACGGAGGGCCCTGTCCACGTCCTGCTCCGTCATCCTCCCCTGCTGCACCGCGGCCATGCCGTGCACCTGTGTGTAGTTCCCGCAGTTCAAATCCAATCCTGCAAACAGTTCGCAACATTTTTACATCAAAAATTTCTCACAATATTAACTGCAACAGATCAGATGACCTTTCTGGTGGTTTTGCTGCACTCACCGGCCTTGAGGGCGACGGCGACCGTGTCCTCCGGCGAGGGCCTGTAGAACTGCGCGTCGTGCATGAGCGCCACCGCATCACAGTCCGACGAAACGTACCCGTTCAAGCCCCAGTCTCCCTTGAAGGTCCTGGAGAGGAGGTCGTTGCTGGCGCAGGCGGGGACGCCATTGATGATGGTGTAGGCGCACATGACGCAGCTGGCCCGGCCATCCTCCACGCAGCTCTTGAACGGCGGGTTGAAGGTGTCCGCCATGTCCTGGGCCGTCACCCTCGCGTTGAAGTTGTAGCGGATGGCGCCGTTCCAGGCCTCGAGGTCGTACGCCGAGGCGTGCTTGCAGCACGCCGAGGTCTGGAGCACCGTCGGCGAGCTGCCCTGCAGGCCCCGGACGAACGCCACGGCGTACTTGCTCGCCGTGGTCGGGTCCTCGCCGGGCGTCTCCTGGCCGCGGCCCCACCGCGGGTCCCGGAAGATGTTCACGTTGGGTGACCAGATGGTGAGCCCCTCGGCCTGCCCGAGGTTGTACAGCGCCCGAGCCTCCGTCCCGATCGCCTACACAAACCATTTTTCACCCATCGATCGCGTTAGTAAATAATCACAGGTAAAAAGAGTACTGCATTTCATTCACATGGCAGGCAATTTGGACTCTAGATTGAGTAGGACAGATGCTTGCGGTACACGCGCGTTTGGTTCATGCGCAGCTTGCAGTAGTGGGATCACTTTTGCCAGGAGTACAAAGTACCAACCCCGTTAAAAAGAGCTCTACTACTGTTCACTTTAGCTAATCAATCGATGAGATCAAGGGATCATGGAGGGAGGCCACACAGTGACAAGTGACAAAGACGGGCACGTGTGGCATGAATGAGAAGGTTTACACTTATGGATCATCACTCCGTAACCAGGACAATGATTGTGTCCAAAACGCCAATTGCTCACGCTTTCTTGCGTATCCCGGGCAAAGTCAAAAGTGGTTCTCAAAAGGCTACCAGCATCGCTGTCGAACCTTGCGAATTACGTCTATGGTCTCTGGACTGTGTCTACAAGGAGAAAACCTAGAGCAGTTGTCTATATTGCTTGCTTGCCAATTTTGTTTCTTTACCATACCACAAGCTCGATCTCTTTTCTTTTTTACCGAATCACAAACATACCACGGCCGCATTTTGTTATTGTATAAAACATTTAAAGAAACTTGATTAAATCTTAGTCGACTGAGATTTATCAACCTCGTACTAATTAAGTAGTAGCTGACATTATCACTGATTAATATCGGAGCCGGCCCAAACCAGCAACTCCACTAGCTACCACCAAGGACGCTGTACAATACGTATTTGGTGGTGGTTACACTCTAGCCATGGCCAGCACAGGAATAAACATAGGTTGTTGGTTACGCACAAAAGGCTAGCTGGCTGTAGGTGTAGGCCTACATGCATGCATGTTTGCTCGCTTATCGATAGGTAGCGATCCCAATGAACCAATTTGCTGCACACCGACCTTTTCCTGTAGTGCAATCATGTTACTTTCATCTGCACTTTCGGTTTACCGGAAATTAAGTTGTCCGTTTCTGTCCTGTTAGCACGGAAGTGGAGCTAGTATGGGTTAATTGATGGAGCCTTAAGTACTAGCTAATTACCTTGCGAAATCAAGATATAATCACATGCATGAGGTAACATATTGATTTTCTATCTCTGTTGTAAAATTTAGACTGAATTTCACATTTTACCCTTGCTTTGCCATTTTTTACGCTTATAAACTTTCAAACAGTTTGCCTCCCGAATTATCGTATATTTCGCAAAAAATTACTCCTACGTACTACCTTTTCACTTTAATTATTTTATTAAAAATAAAGCGACCCGGCCATACACATGCATGCATGCGGTTTTCTTACTGGTTTTCTTTTGCGTCCGAACCGATCAAATGAATTACCCGGACCGTTTTTTTCCTCTCAAAAAGGTGTACTTATGCACCGCTACGCCGAGTTTTTTTTGTTTTTGGTCCGGCTTAACCAAACGAGGAGGTGCACCTGCCTCCACGTCATGGCCACCAGGTCACCATCAGAGTGTCCTTCATCGCGAAACTGCTGGCCGGGGCGGCGTCTCCTGGTAGACCACGAAGCAGGCGAGCACGACCACGACGTACGCTCGACGACTGGTGGGAGAGAGTCCAAAACGCTGGATTCGACCGGACCGTGTCCCACACCCCATCCTACCTACTCCCACCCGGACCAGTAACTACGCTTTCCAGCGGAGGGTGCGGCTTGCGTTGCATACCTGCCCGATGAGGTACCACAGCTGCTCGTCGAAGGCGGCGGCGGTGAGCAGCACCTGCGGGAAGCTGGTGATGGCGCGGACGGCGCCGTCGAAGTGCATGCCGTGGCCCCAGAAGGAGAGCCCGTGGAGCCCCTCCGACCACCACTTGTACGGCGGCACGCCCAGCCGCGGCACCCCCGGCGCCTCGTCGCCCAGCTGCGACACCTTCTCCGCCAGCGACAGCCGCGCCACCAGGTCCGCCGCCCGCTGCGCCGTCGGCAGCGCCGGGTTGCAGAACGCGTACCCCTGCGTCGGGGCTCCCTGGCCGCACGAGAACGGCGGGTTGCCGGCGGCGCACACTCGCAGCAATGCCAGCAGCGTCGCCAGCGTGAGCGCCACCATGACGGCGGCGTGGTAGGAGAAGGCCCTCATTTTGAGAGTGTTTGTGGAGGATGAGAGCAGACAGGAGGTGAGGACGTGAGAGAAGCTCAGTGGCGCGCCGCTCCTTTTATAGGCGCTCTCGGCCAATGGTCCGGTTGAAACTAGAAAGCTGGCATTAACCTATTTTTTCAGCATCCGCTTGAAGGCGAGCTGGGCTCCATTCGGACGACACGCCAGATGGTAATAAGATTCGGCGTAAGAACGGACCACGAGAGAGCTGTACAGCACATTACGTACTTTCCGTTGCCACATGCCGTTCAATGTAGGCTCGATCGATCGTGCAGCTCTCACAAGATTCTTGGACATGACTGCATCATTCGGGCCATGACTATCGATGAATAAAGCCCCTGGTCGGCATGCCTAGTGCTCCAGTAAAGAACGATGGGGATCAAGAGGACGGACGGACGTACGGTTGACATGGGCCTAGCCACCTAGGTTTAATTCTTTCTAAGCTAAGCCATGCATGCATGCATGCATGCATGAGGCGCCGTTAGCCTATTATTCCACTTGATTCTCATGCAAGACGACAGCAACATTGACGGTGGCATATCGTCCGTGCTTTGCTGGTAGCCTCCCGTGCCATTAAATCCACCCTAACCACCCCTGAGTAGATAAACGATGCCGTCCGCCTGGTTTGATCGGTGTGGCACTGGCATGCACACAACAAAGGAGATCGTGCCATCGATTTTGAGCGGTAGCATGCAGAGACAAGTGAAGAGATGCCATCAGTTTTATCGTTTTTCCTAGTGGAAGATAGACTTGTAGGATGGTGTGCCACGTTAGGAGCTGGGCTGGCTATACACGTGGAATGAGGCCACACGCCACGTGTCTTGCTTATCTGTTTACAGTTGTGTTTACATAGAATGACATATTGGCCTACCTGTGTTCTCGTCGGTGATGGTGTCTGGCTTCACGTTCCCGATGCCACGGCACCGATGGCGCCTGTGTTCATCTGGTGGTGGCAGTGGTGTGTCTCGCACCAGTGTAGGTATTGGAGCACGGTGTAAAGGTGTTTGTGATGGTAGATGTGGCGACTGCCTTATCTACGAGAGTCATTCATTTTTTTTGTACCCCACAAGATACTTACTCGGTAACCCGCCATATTTCCAACATAGCTTGCCATAATGAGCGCTCTGGGGGCATCTGCATAGAGCATGAAAAGAGTTTTCCTCTTGGTACCACACACCCCGAGCATATACTAGTCATATCTATGTTTCTAGCATACTTGACGTTCCAAGTGGGTAAAGAAATTGTGACCACTCTCCACGCGAAGGTACATACCTTAGGTGAAGCAGGGTACCTCCATAACGACACCCAGACGACACAAAATCCGATCGGTGCCTTGCTCGTGGCTCCTATAAAAGGTTGCTGAACACTACTAGAAAAAAGCTTATACATAGAAGTTTATCAGTAGCGTGTATTATGGACCCCACACTACTGATAGTTACTAGTAGCGTCTGTTACAAAGCGCGCTATTGGTACAACATAGTAGCAACGTTGGTTTTTGGGAGCCACGCTACTGGTAAGTTTGCCATAGCACACCACCCGACCAAAAAATATTAGCAGCGTTTGTTGTCTAACAAGCGCTACTGTTAAGAAAGTAGTTGTAGCGCCCGTGCATCTAGACGCGCTACTGCTATTTCTTCTATGTGTAAACTTATACCAGTAGCGTTGTTTTTGTACAAGCACTATAGCTAGTTTTACGTACCAGCAGATATTTTGGCTGTCATTCACAGCAGTAGCGTGCTTTGGCACCCCGCGCTACTGCTATGGTCGCCACCCACCTACCACCTTTCCCCTCCTTCCTCCCCTTTCTTCTTCCTCTTCCCCTTCCTTTCTCCCCCTTTCCTTACACCTTGCTTGTTCCATTCAATGCTCCCCCTCCACCACCCCTCCATTAGAGCCCTCCCTTCCCCTCTTCTTTGCCCTCCACCA